ATCTTTCTCCTGTGCTGGATGCTTCCTGCTTTCAAACATCGGACTCCAAGTTCTTCAGACTGGCTTTCTTGCTCCTCAGCTTGCAAATGGCCTGTTGTGGGACCTCACACATTAAGGAGTATTGTGATCATGTGAGTCAATACTCCTTAATAAACTCCCATGTGTGTGTGTATGTATATATATATATATACATACATACATACATCTATCCTATTAGTTCTGTCCCTCTAGAGAACCCTGACTAATACAATATCTAACTTCTAGGAACACTGTGATTAACTCTTCAACACTATTGGTCTGAACAAGGCAGACTATTCTGATTACTGCTGTAAGCCTGCTGTCCATTATGGTAATGACACTGACCTTCCTGTTGGCAGTTCAGTGCTACTATTTATTCTCCGCCATCCTAAGGTCTAATTACTTTCATTGCATTTTGGTTTTCTGATTGAATAGCTGAGGTTGAGACAGGCAGGCTGGTTGATTCCCTATTTTAAGATGGTCTGGAGGAAAAGGACAAAAGCCCTTCACTGCTCTCAGCCAATCACTAACAAGAGACCCAATAGACTATTAACTACAAGCCGCTATTTCAGAGGGCTGGGGATTTCCCCCAGAGCGCCACGTGCACATCTGGACTTAAACTCCCACCTAAAGTTAGCTCTTCTTCATTTCGATGCCTCCTCATTTTCATGCCCAGTGGTAGTGATTTCAAATGCTAGTGCTACATACAACGCATGAAGAAGCATATTGACCACCACGTGAGTGACCACCTTCCTATACATGCGCCTGCCCTGAAGTAAGCTTTCCCTATGGAAAGACCCTATAAAACTAACCCACTTAGTGTCCTCGGGGAGCAGTTCACTTGTTATTTCTTTCTCAGTGCTAGCTCCCTTGTGCACAAGTTGGAAGAAACTTAAACTTAACATTTGCTGCTGTGTTCAGTGATCTCTTGATTTCTATCTTGGGAGAGTGCAAGAACCCTGGGTTACCATCAAAATGTTTGGCCTACAGAGAAAAGCAATCATGGAACTCTTCAAGGATACTGGGGCTCCCTTCACAAATTTACTTCTGAAAGTGTTTGTAAATGGCATGCTTTCTAGACCCTCCCCATGTGGGTGGTAAGTAGATCTTCAATGATAAATCCACTTTAACATTCCAGTGTCTCTAAGCCTTTGAATCTCTTCCTCCACATTAAACCAAGGGAGATCCAACATTTTTAATTCACTCAAAACGGGCCATCTTTTAATCCATGTTTCATCAATAAACCAAACAAACAGACAGAGCCCTTCCTAACACCCTGAACTGGAACATTAAATACAGATCTCTTCTTAGAGAGTCCATATCAATAAATTCAGCCCAATTCAACTTTATGTTCCTTCCAACAGGACCCTATACCCTTCATATCTGTTCTATATATGTCCCCTGGATTTTTGCTTGTACGAATTAGAACATTCAAGTAGTTCTTTTGGCACATAGTACATTTCTGAATGAGTCATGTTTTGTACCTTGTCTTTAGGGGTCTGCGGAGACTTGAGCCTTGCTACAGGTCTAGAAGAAAAGAGGGGTAGCAGCATAGGGTACTAAGGATACCCAGCATTAACTTGCACGGCAACTGCCTCAGGGAGGCCATTACCCTTTCCTCAGGCAATGCAGTATGCATACCCTCCGATGGTGGCAGAAAAGCTGATACCACTGTGGTAGTGGGGAGCCAATTCCACTGGAGGTATGGCAGCCACTTCCATTGGTGTGGGGAGACTACTTTTAATGTCAAAGAAGATTCCCCATAATTCAGGGGCTCGGTGTCCCCAGCTGCATTAGGGTCTTTCCACGGGCCCCCATCACAGCTTTCATTTTCTCCCCAATAAATTGCCCTCACTTTAACAGCAGTCACCCTGCAAAGCTGGGACTTCAATTTGCATTATAATTCAACCAATTGCAGGATGAAGTTCTCAATGTAATTTGCAGCGATTCCAGCCCTGTGGCTGCAGGTGATAAGGCCTCCTTCAGGGCACACTTAGAAGCCCTTGGGTCATTTATAGGTCTCTCTCTCTTTTTTTTCTTTTATTTATCTTTTTTGATACAGACTCTTGCCATCACTCAGGCTGTGGCACAATGTCTGCTCGCTGCAACCTCTGCCTCCAGGGTTCAAATGATTCTCATGCCTCAGGCTCCCGAGTAGCTGGGACTACCGGCATGAACCATCAAACCTGACTCATTTTTCTATTTTTAATAAAGATGGGTTTTTGTCATGTTGCCCACGTTCATTTTTAGGTCTTTTGAGCTGGGAATTCAAATCCTCGAGTTATTTCATTTATTTCACCACTTTGTCCAGTAACATTAGAAACAACCAACCAATATCACTATGCTCCTTAGTATCAAAAATGTCCAAAAGTATCAATTATAGAGTCACCAAGCTCCTTGCTTCTTGTAAGTAGTTGATTAGGAGTATCCAGTGCAGATAATTTGCACGTGTCTATAAACAGATGATGCCTTAGAGTATCAGTTCTCTCTTTAGCACTGGAAATAGCATCACTATTGTTTTTAAATGTAATCAAATGTGAGAGCTAATTTCAGAAACCCTAGATCTAATTAAGAAACAGATTATTAAAATGTGGCTGTTCTATAAACACTCTCAATACCAAAATCTGTATGAGTTCCAGAGAAATAGAACCTATATAGAGATATAGATCGATATCTACACACACACACACACACGAGTCACCAACTTATGATGGTTTCACTCACAATCTCAACTTCCTGATGGAATAAAAATGGTGTATATATATTTTTTCTTTTTTTAAAATTTTTTATTATATTTTAAGTTTTGAGGTACTTGGGCAGAACTCGCAGGTTTGTTACATAGTTATACACGTGCCATGGTGGTTTGCTGCATCCATCACCCTGTTATCTGTAGTAGGTATTTCTCTTAATGCTTTCCCTCCCCTAGCCCCTCACCTCCCAACAGGCTCCCCGGTGTGTGATGCTCCCCTCCCTGTCCATGTGTTCTCATTGTTCAACTCCAAAGGTGGTATATTTTTATTATAATAGTCAATAAATTACATGAGATATTTAACACATTGTTATAAATAGGCTTTGTGCTAGATGCTTTTGCTCAACAATAGGTTAAAGTAAGTGTGCTAAGAATGTTTAAGGTAGGCTATCATGGTAGGTAAGTTAGGTATATTAAATGCTTTCAACTTGCAATATATTCAACTTACAATGGACTTACTGGGATATAACCCATCATAAGCAGAGGAGAATCCAGAGGTAGGGATTCATTATGGGAATCGGCTCACATGATTATGGAAGCCAAGAGGTCCCACACTCTGCAATCTGCAACCTTGGAGAACCAGGAAGGCTGGAAGTGTTACTCAGGTTGAGTCTGAAGGCTTTGACTAGGGCAGGGCTGATGGTGTAAGTCCCTGTCTGATTCAGAAGGCCTGAGAATGAGGTGCTCTAATCTCCCAGGGCAGGAGAAGACAGAAGCACCAATTTAAATGAGAGAACGATACACCTTCTTCCACCATCTGTTCTATCTGGGCCCTCAATGGATTGAACGATGTTCACACACATTGCTGAAGGAAGTCTTCGTTACTCAGTATACTGATTCTAATGCTCATCTCTTCCAGAAAATCTCTCACAAGCACACCCATAAATAATGTTTTGCCAGCTCTCTGGGCATCTTTTAGCCCAGTCAAGCTAACAAATCGAATTAGCCACCCCTTATGGACATGTAGATGGAGATGGAGGTGTCTGTGTATTCTGATAATTTGTATACAGCATTTTTCACCTGCTTCAAGTAATACCCTTTCTTCCGTAAAGCAAAAATAAAAGTCAAATCCCCACAAGAGACTAAATGGACCCCACTCTCAGTCAAGGGAATTTCAAAGTAAACATGAAAAACTGGCTTAGGCTATGAGGGGAAGGGGCTGGGCATTGGACATGCCTGATTATACTCTCCTCCCTTTGGAATTCTGTCACAGCTGCCCAGCATTAACACCGAAACAGAGATCCTGTGAGTGACAAAGCAGACTTTTTGTAGTAATAAGATACCAAATTCTAATCTGACTCCAGTGTAGTATCATACCAAAGATAGCAGATGCTGTTAAAAATCAAAGTATTTTACCCCAAAATATATGACTTTGACATGTTTTGAAGTGGTCCTGCAAAGCCGTCTTTCGTGGGGAAAATCTACATTCTGTAAAGAACTCCCTTTTCTTTCCAGGTCTTTTCCTCATCCAAGAGAGACTTAACTAAGAGTCTGACACCTTTACCATCTCATCTTGCTGAAGCCTGCTAGTTAAGGTTGTATCTGTATAATAAGAACCGTGGTTTCTACAAACCCTTATGTTAACTTTGTCAATCCTTTCTACGGATTCCAGGTCTTTAGCTAATAACTTAACCCTCTCAACCACATCAGAAAATCTTGGACACTACCTATGACCTGGAAGCCTCTGCTTTGAGTTGTCCCGCCTTTTTGAACCGAACAAATGCATACCTTACATCTAGTAATTGACGCTGGCATGTAACTTCTGTCACCCAAAAATGTATAAAATCAGTCTGTAAACCAACCACTTTTGGGACATATTCTCAGGACCTTCTGGGGCTGTGTTGCTGGCTACTCATATTTGCCTCAGAATAAACCTCTTTAAATATTTTCCAAATTCTGATTCTTTTCATTAACACTTCTGTATCATATCATAGTCTGTTTTCTTCTTAGAGAGAGCTAGCTTCCTTTGTGTCTTATTGTACATTTTAAGGAAAAAAATAGGAGAACTAATATGCCTCAACAAAAGTCACACTGAAATCTACACATATGTTCAAAGAGGAAAAAGCATTCTGGAAATAACTAGAATCATCTTTCAGCATTAGGCACAATTCTTTCTGCTGCTCTGGATTCTTCTTCAGCAAGTCTGAGTGTGAGGTATCCTCTTCTCCTCTGAACCTCCCAAACCCTGTCCCTCATCAGAACTTACCTGTCTTTTGCCTCATCTCTAAGACTCCAACTAACCTAGTTATTAATATCTCAATAACCATAAGATATTAATAGCTGGTGATGACTTCACATTTTATTCCATTCAAACTTTATTTTCCAACTGATTGATTCTCAATGTCTTAACCAATGAAGTGAGTGATAAAGTTGTTTGGGTAACTGGGAAAGAGCACAAAGTCCAGTAATTCCTTCTCAGTGATTCCCACATACTCCTAATGTCGATTTTATCAATGTCAGTGACCTTCTCAAACAACCGTCTTTTGGACTTCTTGACTCTTCTGTGTCAACTTTCTGTTTTCTCTGATATTAATATCTGCACTGTTCTTTAAATATAGGTAGCCTCTTCTACCTACATTTAAGTGAGACCTTGCATTTGAAATTCAATACCTGCTTAAATTACCCTGTTCTTCAATTGTGTTTCAGTCCAGAGTTCATAATCACAGCAGGAAATACCTACCAGGCCACCATCTGATATGAAACATAATTGGAAATTTGACTGTGATTGTATGGATTAAAATGCCTCTAAGCAAACAAGTTTTCCATGTTTTCAGTGCCTTTTAGTCTAAGTTACTCACCGTTTCCTCTAATCTTATCTCACCTTTGAGACAGCCAACAGGAAATCAAATTACAGCAAGGTCTTCTTGGGGTCAAGTTGTCCATCATTTCAAATTTAACTGTAGAACTCTTTCCCTTAAAGGTGAAGGAACAAAAAATGTCAATTTCAGGTTGCTGCTCACCAGCTTTTTAAAAAGAAACATTAATTACACACCTATTAGGTGTCAAGCACTATCCAGTAAAATGCATTGTTTCCTCCAGTATTCACAGCTTGGATGGAAAAACAGTCATTGGGACCAACTTTCAACTGTCTAGGCACTTTGTGATGTCTGAGTAATAACTTAGGAGGTTTTATTTTCTATGAATAGCTAAAGAACCACACGGGAAGTTGTCAATGCAGTAGATTTTAATAACTTACATAGACCACAAAAACCCCTTCCTGTAGCACAGCATTACTCAGACCTTTTTTCCACTTTTAGTCCCTCACGTAGACAACATCATAACCACCCACAGCATTTGACAGGAGCTGGAGGGATTACCCCGGAAGAGACAGGCCAAATCACCTGTCACTGCTCTATTTGTCTGCTACTGAAAAGATGCTGAGTCCTGTCCTCGTGATGTCTTAACATCTTGTGACACTCGCCTTTACAAGATATTCTGCATTTGTCTTCTTTCCCAAAGCCAGCCTCACTTGGAGCAAGTACCCAGAAATTCAGCTTCCTGCTTATCAAGTATCTGAAAGGTGAAGAGAATTTTAAGACTGTGGGGGCCAAAGACCCTTGGCCCCCTAAAGGTTTGCTAGCAATCAGTGGTACAAGGCAGACTGATTAATAGGAGAAAAGGCATACAAATTTACTCTGCATGTATATATGGGTCTTTCTTAAGGAAGATCCAGTTTTCCAATGAGTTGCAGAAACTTATATACTATTTGAGGTTGCAGAAAGAATGGGGACTTTGATACCGGTAAAACAGGTTATGGGAAGAAGAGAAGCAGCTCGATTAGCAAAGTTGGCATTGTTATGTAGATGAAAACTCCAGCAGAGATAATGGATAGTAAATGTTTCTTTTTAAACTTTCGAAAGCATCAGGCTCTCAATCTCTCCTGGATATGGGGAAAGGCTCAGAAAGGAGAGGGGGCCTGGAGATTCTCTACAGATGCAGATTTTCTCCATTTAAGACTGCTTTGTAAGGCCACTTCTGTCAGGTGGATAAAAGCCATTTCAAAGTATGTCAAAGAAATATATTTTGGGGTAAAATATTTTAATTTCCTCTAAAACTATACTAAAAAGTAGAAGTTACTAACAGAGGCTTTTATTGAATGGATAAAGAAACACAGAGGAATATGTCATCATTCAAACTGGAAGGCAGAAATATGAAACGTTGCCTAAACAGGGAAGAGCAAAGATTCTAAACCTTCCTTGCATTAGAAATAAATTTTCAGTGCCGCAAAAGAAGTAGCACTCGAATATAAATTTTCTCATCAAAGCAATTTACTTCTATAGAAGGGTGTGTCTCACAGATAGAGCAATGGCGAGAGCATACCTGAACAGGGGATGGGAAGGGGTTCTTATCCCTGACACAGGTAGCTCCTACTGCTGTGTAGTTTCCCCTATTGGCAAGGATTGGATCACACAGTCTAAGCTAATTCCAACTGGCCATTTTAAAGAGAGCAGAGGTTCGAGCTAGAGTGGTGGGGTGAGTAGTTTTAGTGAAAAGAACAGTTATGGAACAGGTGACTAAAGGTGACTCAGGTCAGAGCAGGTGGCCGGGGTGACTCAGGATGGAGCAGGGGACCAGGGGTTATTCAAGATGGAACAGGTAAACCCAGGGAACAGATGTGAACTACTGATTAGAGCTGGTGGCTTTCCATTGTTGCTTTCTGAAACTAGGGGCAAGGAGATGAGGAAGTTAAACTTTAAAATGGAGAACAAAGTACAAGGAAACTGAACATAGTGACGACTGATTCTTTGTAAAGAAACTTAGAGCTGACTGTATTTAATACTTGGTTAAATAGGGAGCATAGAAAAGACCCTCAGTTCTGAGGCAGGTCCTTACCATTCACCTCAACTACTTACCCTCTAAGTGCTTACTCTAATGGTAAAATCCACACAACTTACTTCTAAATAGCAAGTGGAATTTTGACCTAAAACCTAAATATTCCATTTCTAGATAAGGGCTCTCACTCAGGGGTCTCTTCCTCTCAGACTCAGTTTCATTCTATCAACAAAGAGAGTCATACCATAAAATATTAAAAGAGGTTTATTCCAAGTCAAATATCGCTGACCAAGGCCCAAGACACAGGCTCAAGAGGTAGGTCCTGAGAACATGTGCCCAAGATGGCTGGGTTACAAGTTGGTTTCTATATATTTTGCAGAGGCGTAAGACATCAATCATGTTGGCCAGGCTAGTATTGAACTCCTGGCCTCAAGCAATCTGCCCCACTGGGCTTTCCGAAATGCTGGGATTACCGACGGGAGCCACTGTGCCTAGCCATGCATACTTACTTTTATAAATGAACTCATTTCCTCTATTCTAAGTGAAAACATTAGAATTGTTGCTCAAAACTCTGATGCCTTTTTCTAGTAAGCAACACTGTATTCTTCACACGGTTTTATTTAAAATTCTTATTTGACTCAATAAAAAAATTTTTGACTGGAAGATTGTGAGCTTTTCTTGTACTTCATGTAGTTTTTTTTTTTTTTTTTTTTTTTTAATGATCCATCCATTGGCTTAAGAAATAAGATTTAAAAGGGTAAGGGTGTTTCCATCCATTTTTATTACACTCTTCTGCTGGACAGAGTAAAAATGACAACCTCTGGCTCCATTTTCTCTTTTGCAGGTTTTTGAACTGTTTTCTTTGAACGAACTGCTTAAAGTCTGGTGGCCTTTCTATTTTGTCTAGGGCCTGCTCAGAGTTGACAAACATTTCCAGATCTGAGGAGGAGAGGTAAGTTGTATATATTCAGTGTTGTGATTTTTTTTTAAAAAAAAGGTTATAAATAACAGGTTCTGTATTGTTGGAATTCATGAAGATACCACAGGGTGAATCCCAAAATTGGGGCTCAGCCTTGGAGACTACATGGGATCTTGGCTTCAAGTAGGAGAGTACTCAAAAGTGAGCTGACAGACTAAAGTGAAAGCAATTTTACTAAAAAGGAAAGGAAAGGCTGGGCATGGTGGCTCATGTCTGTAATCCCAGCACTTTGGGAGGCCAAGACAGGTGGATCACCTGAGGTCAGGAGTTCAAGACCAGCCTGGCCTACATGGTGAAACCCTGTCTCTACTAAAGATAGAAAAAAAAAGTTTGCTGGGCTTGGTAGTGGGTACTTGTAATCCCAGCTACTCAGAAGGGTAAGGCAGGAGAATCACTTGATTCTGGGAGGTGGAGGTTGCAGTGAGCCAAGATCACGCCATTGCACTAAAGCCAGGGTGATAAGAACAAATCTCCATCTAAAAAAAAAAAAATTAGCTAGGTGTGGTGTCAGGTGCCTGTAATGCCAGCTACTCAGGAGGCTGAGGTGGGAGAATTTCATAAACCTGGGAGGTGGAGGTTGCAGTGAGCTGAGATCATGCCATTGCACTCCAGCCTGGGAAACTCCATCTCAAAACAAACAAACAAAAACCAAAGAGTAAAGGAATTAAAAGGTGGCTACCCCATAGGCAACGAGCAGCGTGACTGTTTGGCTGATGATACTTGTGGTTATATCTTGATTATATGCTAAGCAAGGGGTGGATCATTCAGGAGTTTTCTGGGTAAGAGGGAAGGCATTCCTGGAACTGAGGGTCCCTTTCTCTTTCAGACCATATAGGGTAACGCATGAATGTTGCCACAGCATTTGTAAACTGTCATGGCCCTGGTGGGAGTTTCCTTTGGTATATTAATGTATTTTAATTAGTGTATAGTGAAGAGTGAAGGTAACCAGAGAGCACTTTCATCACTACCTTGGTTTTGGCAGCTTTGGGCTGGCTTTTATTTTTATTTTTTTACCACATCCTAATTTATCAGTGGGGTCTTTGTGACCTGTGTTCCAAGAAGTGAGTCCTGCTGAATCCCTATCTCAAACATATTATTTATGTTCAATTACAAAATTAATTTTTTATCTGAAGAATGCTGTTTATAATTTGTATTGTCAAAACAATACATAAATACAATATTGGGAACTGAAATTCACTCATGATGTCATCAAAGATCCTGACACAACTGACTGTTTTTCTAAGCTCTAGAAGAGAGAGAAGCTGGAACTGTTTCATTGAAATATATTGTTTTCTCAAATTTCAATATACTTGATTAAAATAATGTATTTTTAGACATTACTGAGGAGTTCATAGGATTATAGTTCTTGCCAGGCTTCCGTCTGCACTGGGTAGGCAAATAAGACTGTGGTTATGCTGTGTCTCCAATAACAAGAGACGGAATATTCACTAAAAGATATTACAGGAGAATATTATGAATCTCCCAGGGTCCCTGAGAGTCATAGTCACTTTTACATCCCCAGCAGCTGGCACAGGGCCTGACACAAGGTAGTACTTAGTGCTTTTCTTTTAAATGGCTTTGGACTAATTGAAAAAAAGAAAGAAGGCTTCTCCTCTCACTGAGTTTACAATCTTACTGAATGTAAATATGTACAGAACTAAGAGCTTGAAGACAACTAAAGGGAAAGGGATATTATAACTGAAGAAGATGGAAAACTTCAAAGTATGAAAGAAGGGGTTTAGAAAATCATTTGAGGAAACTACAAATACATTAGGTGATTTCCTCACAAGGGCAGGGCCAAGTTGGTGAGTGAGAGATTGTTGAGAACAAAACCAGGATTTGATGGTGGCACTTGACAGTTAGTAAGAGGCTTGTACCCGTATCACAGAATATAAACCTTCCTTCAGCTTTTTCTCCCATGCACCGTGAAGTCGCTGACATCAACTACCCTTCTGTGTATCAAGGTAGGTCTTATTCCTAAACTGAAACTCTAGAATACATCTCTAAGGGGTGTGTGAACAGAAGTAGATCTGGGGATCAAGACTATACCAAACATTTAAAAACTTTCAAGAAACCAAAATGTTATTGCTTTTGAGTTAATAAATCTATTTGAATTACCAACAATGAATCTAATGAATGGAGGAGGTAACATTTACTATTC